GTTTTCCAAAAGCGGTTCTCACCCATTATTTGATCCCTGTAAATTCTGCCATGAACCAGACAGGGCAAGTGGTATGAGCCCTACTTTTCAGTTGTGAAACCAGGCCCAGAGAAGCTAAGGGACTTGCCTAGTGTCACACAGCTTTCAGTGGCAGAGGTAAAGCTAGAACCCTAAGCCTCTAGTAATCGTATGTGAAAGCACTTTTTAAACTGTGAAATGTGACACTCCAGGGCAGTTTCTAGTTAACTCTTAATGGAGGCAGGGTGGGGCCCTGAGCCTGCCTGCTCCCCACATGCCTGGGAGTCACTGGGCTGACAGGGAAAAAGGGGAGCACCAGGATGGAGAAGCTGTGCCAGGTTAAAGAACTCTGCTCCAGGACCAGGATCTGGATTCTAAAAGGCTTTGGGACTCTGGTGACGGAAGGCCATCAGGGTAGGAGAGGACATTTTGGTAGAACAGACTCAAAACCTCAAGTAAGAAAGAGAAGGAAACACAGAAGGACTTCAGAGGGACATGTGAACGTCATTCTAGATCACAAATGGCCCATTTGTGTGAGGAAGGGTCTGGGGGTGCACAGGATGGAAGCCTGGGCAGTCATCCTCTGAGGCCTCAGAGCCCCAAGACTTCGGTCCTGGGGAGAGTGGCTCACTTCCCCGCTTTAGCTCTCAGTTCCCTCATTCGTCAGCGGAAGGGGTTGCATCCCGTGGTCATAAGGGCCTGGATAGCTCTGACACTCGGTTTCTGTGTGGCCTTGATCCCAAGGCTCAGAGACCTGCCCCAGGTGCTCCTTGGAACCAGAATGATCCTTGGATCTTCCTTACACAGAGAACCTCTGAAGAAGGGTAGGAGAAGGGGTCAAGGCCCAGCTCAGAGACAGAGCGGGCCTGGCCTTTGGGGAATAACCTGTGCCACGTGGCTGCCGTGTGTGGGCACCCTGCCCTCCCTCAGACATTGTCAGCTCCACCGACGATTGTGACTCCAGATATCCTGTTTAGAGGGAAGAATGCTGGCTGCACAGCCAGCTCACGCATCACCCCCAGGAGCATGCTCTGTCTGCCCGCCCCCGGGGCCACCTGAGAATGGCAGGGTGGGGGGTGAACATGGCGGGAGCCCACAGTCCTGATGGGAAGTCCTCCCCTGCTGCTTCCTAGCTTGGGGTAAGTTACCTCACTCAGCTTTGGCTCCTTCTCAGTGAAGGGACTGCCCACCATGAAGGGCTGCCTGGAGGACGAGATGATGAATGCAAGAAAGGGTGCTCACTGGGTCCCCAGGAGTGTCCACTCCGGGCTCCGGTAATGTCCTCTGCTCCCCTTGATTGTACTGTCTCAGCATTGTCTACGGTAGAAGAAGAATCTGAACTCAGGGCTGACTTCTCTACAGCTGTTCAGGCCCTGTTTGATCTGGAGGCTTGTGGGCCTTCCCAGGAAGCAGGTTGGCCTGCACACAGATCCACGTGGCTCTGGCCTTGCCAGCAGGGAGGGCCACAGGGGGCCCAGTGTTCAGAACTGCAGGCCAAACAGCACCCACCCCTGACCCTTCCTTCAGAGGGCAGGCTGCTCCCCCAGCTCCCACTGCCGGGAGCTCCAGGCCATACCAGGGGCCCACGCCTTGGGCGGGCACACAGGGTGGCCATTGTCTGTGCAGTGCCTGGCACCCTTTCGTTTGCATAGCCACGTGAAGAATGCAAGGGTGCAGGCTGGGGATGTGTCCCTGCAGAGGGGGCAGGGGCTGTGGGGGAAGAAGTTGGCTGGGGTGGAGGTAGGGGGGTATCGGCAGCAGGACCCTGCCTTCCCGCAGTGCAGTCCAGGAAAACCAGGTGGCCTCTGGGGATTAAGGGGGCCTGGGAGCTGGTGGGAGTAGGAGCAGTGTTCTGACATTCCCCCTGCACCCACGGCCAAACTGAACTGAACGTGAGGGGATTGCTAATGAGATGGAGGAGAGTTAAACATTCCCCGGCTCCACAGGGCGGAGCTGGGATGGGAGAGAGAAGGGAGAGGGGGGCACTGGGAGGGGGCAGCCTGAACCCCAGGAATGTGCAGAGGCCAAGGCTCCCTCCCCTCCAGGCTGTTCTGGAGCTGGGGCCGGAGGCCCTGGGCCCCCTCTGGGCCCCGCAGGAGCTGCTAAACCAGCCAGCAAGGGATTAACGGGGCTGTACAGCCTGCCTGCCTTCAGGCCGATGCCAAAAGGTCTGTGCTATCTCCTACCCCCCCCCCCTGCCAGGCCCCTTGCTGACTGGCAGCCAGGTCTGGCCCAGCTTTGACGGGATCCCTTCTTTTACCCCTTTTACATCTCCAAGAGACCCCGCAGTGCGTATTCCCTGGTCTGGCCTCCTCTGTTTTTGATACGCATGGCCCCTAGGTACCCAGAACCCCCTCTTCCCGGTACCCCTTCTCCAGCCCAATCTCTCCATATCTGGCTTCAGAGCCCTCTCCAAAAAGTTTTCCTTGATGTCTTACCTGCTGCAAATTGCAATTCAATTTCCTTTCTGTCGTAGTCAGAGAGGACAGGAAGCCCCCAGGGTCAGATGAGCCCTGTGAGGGCAAAATCCGTCATCTCGGGGCTGGTGCTTGGCGTAGGAATTAGGAGAATTTTAGGGCACTGGCATCCAAGGGGTTTCCCCGGCAGAAAGGCCCTGAGGACAAGCAGGGTCCCTCCTCCTAGGCCCTCCCTTCTCTATCCCTGGTGGGGGTGGCGGGGGCAGGGGCACCTACCTGGGCCGAGGCCCCACCTCCCCATCCCCAGGGAGCTGGGCAGGAGCTTTGCTGGGGACCCTGCCCTGGCTTAGGCGGCTGCTGTGGGCGGGCCCCTGGCTTTGCCAGTGCCTGGGCCTCCGCCTGCATTCTAGAGCCCCAGTCGCTGCCACTGCGCTGCTGCTGCCTTGGCTGGGCTGCCGCCTCTCCTCAGCCTTTGACCACTGCTGCACCCCACCCCAGCCCAGCTGCTCCGCTCACCTGGCCATGACCCCGGCCCTGCCAGGGACCCTGGCCCAGCCCTGAGCTCTGAGGCCCCCAACCCTCTCCTCTGGGCCATGGCCAACTCGGGCCTCCAGCTCCTGGGCTACTTTCTGGCCCTGGGTGGCTGGGTGGGCATCATCGCCAGCACAGCCCTCCCGCAGTGGAAGCAGTCCTCTTACGCTGGTGACGCCATCATCACCGCCGTGGGCCTCTACGAAGGGCTCTGGATGTCCTGTGCCTCCCAGAGCACCGGTCAGGTTCAATGCAAGCTCTACGACTCACTGCTTGCTCTGGAAGGTAGGCCTCATGCCAGCTGGGCTGGGGGTGGGATACGGGGTGGGGGAGGTCTGGAGCCAGCTTTCCCACAGTTTGCCATCTGCTCTGGGCTCCACTCTCCAGCCCCCTGCGTCTGTGCACTTTTGAAAATCCAGGTTAGCCCAGTGTCCCCACAGAGGAAGGGGCTCTAGGCTCTGGCAGCTGTGGGTCCAGATCCCAGCTCTGCCACTGTAACCTTGAAGGAGTCACTGGTCCTCTCTGTGCTCCTATGTCCTCATCTGTAAAGGAAGTACTGTGACTTTTACAGGCTTATGGGAGGGTCAGTTGAGATGGGTGCCTGGCACTCAAAAAGGTTCAGTTAAGACTCACCCCTCCACTTCTCCCCATGCTCTGTACACACCAGCCCAGCCACTTAGACAAGCATGCCAGCATGCCGGTGGGTGTACGCACACACATGGACGCCCCCCCCCCACACACACACACATACACACATGTACACACACAGGTACTCGGGCCACAGGTCCCCCCCAACTCCTCCTGGAGTATGGAGTTGAGCCTGATAAGTTTGCTCATAAACAGGCACCACTGCAGCTCTGTTCCCGGCTCTAACCCACCCGCTACCTGCTCAGGGCCCCCAGGCCAGGGCTACGCTTCTGTCACATGGCCCCTGCTTATGCCCATCCCAGCAAGCCATCTGACCTGCCTTAAGGACCCAGATCCCCGAGTTGTCCTCTGGCCCAGGAATGACCAACAGGCAGGCATATGGCAGCCATAGGTGACTCACAGGGCAGAGAGGAAGGTGACCAGAATCAGAATGGCCAATGGGGAAGGTGTCCCGCCCAAGGGCCACCTGGGCTGAGCTGGGCCTCACATGCCCTCACCTCCTCATTTTGCTGAATCTGAAAAGCCCCAGGAGAAGCTGCCTCTGCTGCTTGGGTCGGGTGGGCAAGGCCCAAAAGAGAGTCCCCAGCCACAAAGGAGCAGATGAGAGAGCTCAATCTGCCCCGTCACCACACGCCACCTGGAGGAGCCTGTAAGGGGGAGTGAACGATGGAATCACACGGGGAAGTCAGCCCCACCCGTCTTCGCTACCCCCTTATGCCTGCCTAGGTGGCAGCCCAGGAGGAGCTTCCAGCTCCTGCTCAATCCCTCCTGCCTACCCAGGTCACATCCAGTCTGCACGAGCCCTGATGGTGGTGGCTGTCCTCCTGGGCTTTGTGGGCATGGTCCTCAGTGTCGTCGGCATGAAGTGCACCCGGGTTGGGGACAGCAACCCCATTGCCAAGGGCCGCATCGCCATCTCCGGGGGTGCCCTCTTCCTCCTGGCAGGTGAGTGTCTCTGGCTCCTTCTCCATCATCTTGGCTATGGCAGGTAGCTGCGCTCTGGGTGGCCAGCTGGGGCAGAACTGAGCAACCCCTCCTTTGTCCTTAGGCCTCTGCACTTTGACTGCTGTCTCATGGTATGCCACTCTGGTGACCCAGGAGTTCTTCAACCCAAGCACACCTGTAAATGCCAGGTGAGTGCCAAGGCATGGCTTGGGCCAGGGGACAGGCTGGGTCTCCCTCTCCACCGCCTCTGGGGCCAATGGCCTTTGCCCTGCAGGGCACTTGGAGGGGAAAACAGAGGGCCCCAAATGTTGTCACTGAGAAGCCTCTCTGGAGCAGGAAGCCAGGCAGGGTGTGACCGGGTCCTCTGAAGGGACAGGAGGCCTGCAGAGGACACCCCAGGAGCTAAGTGGCCTGGCTCTGAGTTTAAGTCCCAGCTCTGCACCTGCTGGCTGTGTGACAGGCTAGTTCCTTCATCTTTCTGCATCTGGTTTCCTCCCTGTAAAACAGTTAGGAGTCAAGGACCCAGCTCACACCGGGTTGTGAGAGTTCAGTGAGATATGCAGGTAAGGGCCTTAGCACGATGCAGGGCCCTGGGGAGCACTCAGTCAAGGGGGACTGCTGTTTACATGCAGGAAGCAGCTGTTAACTTTGGGCAGGAAGAGGGTGGGGGTGAGGCTGGAGAAGAGATAGGGCAGATCGCGGTGGTCCTCGCAGCCATAGGGAGGTTTTGTTCCCCAGCCTGGGGTGGGAGGCAGCTGTAGTATGAAGAATGGTGAAAACGGGCAAGCCCGGTAAGGCGCTGCTGCCAAGGTCTGGAGCAGAGGGCTTGGGCCAGGGGGCTAGCAGTGGAGAGCAGGTTCAGAGGGATTTAGAAGGTCGAATGGTCAGGACATGTAGGGCCGAGGGTGTGGGGGCCGAATAGGCGACTATGTGAAGGGCCTGGGCCTCTCCTGGCTCCTCCCTCACCTCTCAGTGCTGCCAGGAGCAAAGAATGGAAAAGTCTCAACCCCAGACATTCCAACAGGCCTTGGGGTCCTGGGGTGGAGGGAGGATGAGGAAAGATGCCTGGGCAGTCGCAGTCAGGAGAGCGCGCTGGAGAACACAGACGTGTGGAGCGGGAGGGAAAAGAGACCACAGGTGAGACGGAGGCTTGTTCCCTGGGGCTGGCAGCTCTATGAAGACCTGCCAAGCAAGAGGCAGCTCAGCTCAGGGGTGCCAAGCTGGCACTTGTCCCTGCATCCCCTCAACAATCCCCAAGGCCGCCTGGGTGGCAGGCCCTGTGCTGGGCCCTGGGGACACGGATGAATCGGGTTGTCTGCCCTCGAGGCCCTCCCCAGGGAGCCAGACAAGCAAGGAACTGAATGGCCACCTAGAGAGAGTCAGACGCGCAAGGCAGGCGAGCACAGAGGGGCCTGGGGAAGCCCCCTTGAAAAGGGGGCATCTGAGCAGGGGCCCTGAAGGCGGAGAAGCACAGGAGGCGCAGAACGAAAGACATTCCAGGAGGGGTTGCCTTGTGCAAAGGCACTGAGGTCAGGAAACCCAGGGCACCGCAGAGGGGGGGTGGGCTGGCCTGCAGCACCCTGGCAGGAGAGCCTGGAGTGCTAGGGGGAGGGGTCTGACCTTCTCCAGAGGGCAGTGGGGACCCCCAGCTGGGAGTTCTGTGGGACAGACGGTGACAGAGAGATGGCAGGGATTGTCCTGCTCCTCCCAGCTAGCCCTGTGGGCCCTCCCATACTGTCTCCACTGGCCAGATGAGGAAAGGGACCTGAGGTAGTACAGAGCAGGGCCCTCTGAGCCTGGGTCACCCTGTGTGGTGTTGACATGCTGGGAGCGGAAGGGGGTGGGAGGAGGCAGAGAAAGGGTGAGCATTCATCCCAGTTTATCGGGAGAGGCTGACAAGGCTTGTGAGGCCCCCAGTCTCAGCTCCTCATACCCTGCCCACCCTCTGCCGGCGCTGAGGCTGGGGAGCCCTGGGGAGGACTGAGGAGCCCTGGGGTTGCAGCCACACCTGATGGTATCCTCCCTTCCCCTTGCAGGTACGAGTTTGGTCCGGCCCTGTTTGTGGGCTGGGCCTCTGCTGGCCTGGCCATGCTGGGGGGCTCCTTCCTCTGCTGCACGTGCCCGGAGCCTGAGAGAGCCAACAGCAGCCCACAGCCCTATCGGCCTGGCCCCTCAGCTGCCACCCGAGAGTACGTCTGAGCCCCCTGTCCTGGCCAGTGCAGCACCCTGGGCAGGGCCAGTAGGGCACAGGGTGTTCCCCGAGCTCGGTTACAACTCTGAGCAGCTTGTCCCCAACATAGGCACCTACCCTTCATTCTGAGTCCCAGACCAGACACTCAGAGAGAGGCCAGAGGCAGGACCCAGCCCCCAGGTGCAGGCATGGACCCGTCCACAGAGCCTCATGGCACCAGCATTGTTTCCCCACACCAGCCCAGGTGCCGGCCCTTTTACTGGTGGCTTATTTACTCACTGAAGGGCTACGTGAGTGCCTACTCTGGGCTGGGCCCTGGGGACACACTAGTAAAGATGGACCTTGGTGACTAGTGCCCTGGGGTGGCCCTCGGCCTCCCCAGGCCCACAGGTTCCTCACAGTCACCCCACAAAGGAGGCAATGCCGGGATACGAATGTCCCCACATTATACATGAGGAAGCAGGTTCAGAGAGACCCAGGTTTGGCTGCGTTGTCTCTGGATTCAGGCCTCAGGCCCCTCCAGCATGCTTAGTGCTGCAGGGACACACACACAGAAGTTTAGGCCGGACCGCATCACCCCTGCCCCCGGGGTGGGCCCCTGGCCAGGCTGCTGTGAGAACCCAGGTCTGACCCTGCTGGCCAGTCCCTGTGCTTGGGCCCGAACCCCACAGTCCCTGCCCCCCTTTCCTCCACTGCTGCTCGCCCCACTAACCAGCTCTCCTCTCTTTTGACTTTCAGACCAGTTGTTAAATTGTCTGCCTCCATCAAGGGCCCCCTGGGTGTATAATGTCCCCAGCCTGGCTTTGTACCCCTGCCACACCTAGACTGTGTGTTTGGTATTTTTTGGAAAGAGAAGTGAATGTCAAGCTCAAGTGTGGTGTCATTTGATCTGTCCCTGGCATGGCTAGGGTGGGGCCTGGCTCAGAGGTCAGAGCTGGTCCCTGTTGTTGTTCGGCATAAAGATGGGGACCCAGAGGTCCAGGGTGGGTTACGAAGCACATCCAGGCTGATCAGGGCTCCTGTCCACTGCCTAGTAACCTCCCCAGCCTGGCCTGGGGTTGGCGCCAGGACCTTCTTGATAGGAGACCCTACCCTGAGACCTGGTCCAGTGCTGGGGGCCATTCCTGGGGTCAGGGTACCCCTGGTCTGAAGAGACACACAGCCTCACCTGTTACTCTCCGTTCCTGGGAGCCCTCCTGTTGGGTTCTGGGGATCAGAGCTGGGTTGAGGGAAAACTGTAGGAGTTCCCTAAGTGGAAAAGGGACTGGGGGAAGGGCAGTAGGGCCTTTCAGGCATTTGGACTTTCCTGAGCAAGGTTGGAAGCTCCAGCTCTGCTCCCACCCAAATGCCGCCCCTTGCCCACACCCACCATTCCTCCTCTCCAGTCTGCTGAGGCCCGGCTACAGTCCTGTCCTAGAACAAGAGCAGGGAGCCGGCGGCCTGAGGCTGCCCGAGGCTGGCTGGAGCTCCATCCTCACACAGAGGTGCGGTCAGAGCCGAAGGGCTTTTGGTCTTGAAGTACAGGGAACCAACCACCCTCTTCGTCTAGAAGAGGGAGATGTCCTCAGAGGAACGTAAGGAAAATTAACACACATCAGCTCCTCCCCTATGCTCAGGCCTCTCCAACCCCAAATGTCCTCCCTGGAGCCTGGGTCTCTCTCTGACCAGTGCCCCCTCTCCCATCTGGAAAGAGCTGACCATAACTGTCCCTTGCCTTCCCCACACCCTCACCTAGCTCCGTTCTGGCTCCCTCCACCAGCATGTTGTGCCACGTCTCCCACCAAGTCACAAATGCCACGGACACGACTCCGCCCTCTCCACGAGCTTGACTCTGAGAGGCGAAGTCAGACAAGATGGCTGCCGTGGGTGCTCCAGTGGGGGCGGGAGGGATGGGAGGTGGGAAGAGCTCCTGAGGGATAACGTATGCGACGCCCTGGCCTGGCAGCTGCCGCACAGCCATGGGAAGCCTTAGGAGAGGCCTGTCCATGAGGCCTGTCCAGCCTCCGGCCAGAGGGGATGGACACCTGACCCTAAATGGGTTTACCCGAATCCTACTTCCCCAATTGCGAATGAGCACTATGCAAGTCCCTCTGGGTGCCTGAACTGTAACGCAGTGGTTTTGCTCCTGGATGCACATTTGAGTCACCTGGGGAGCTGACGCCTAGGCTCCACCCCCGACATTTTGACTTAATCGGCTTGGGGTGGACCGTGCATCTGAGTTCAGGCAGCTCCCTGAACTGCGATGTGTGGTCAGCATCGAGGGCACCTCTGTGAGGCCTAAAGTTGGGGCCTCATTTCTCACCGGTGCTGAGGGGTCTCAGAGGGAAAAAGGCACCTACAAGAGGAGAAGAAAGTCAAGTCCTGTCTCCCTCTGAATTTCCTCAGACCAGGCTAGTCCATGAGATTCCCACATTCTCCCCATAAATATACCCTTTTTTGCTGAAATAATTTTGAGTTTGGTTTTTGTTACACATAGCCCAAAGAGCTCTAACACCAAATTTGGAACCTGGAACCTGAGTGTTGCAGCAAGAGCTCCTGTTATGGGTGCCAGCTGAGCATGGTGGGATGCAGGGTACAGAGGCTCCACCTCTCTGTCCCAGGCTGGGCATTTGGCAGCCTTTACTTAATCTGGTCATGAAGCAGTTGTCCAGGAAATCGTACGTCGTCTCTTGAGGTTCAGTGCTTACCAGAGGCTTAGGACTCTTACCAAGCAAGGGTCCACTGCTGATGTGCATAGAAGCCAATACTATGACACCGGCTTTTGAGAAAGGAAAGCAGCTTTACTTACCAGTCAGCTGGCAAGACAGGAGGCAGGACTCAAATCTGTCTTCCTTGATCCAGGATATGGGGTGGGGGTTTAAGGGGTAGCAGTTAAGTGTTCACGAATGTTACTCGTAAGTGTAACTTTTGTTCTGGGTCTTGTTAGAAACAAGATAGAACCAGGTTCTATGGTTACAGGGCTCGGTAGGAAGATGTTGGGATAGAATATGCTGTCTGCTTCTTGTGGCTTTCAGAGACAGGCTGTGAGAGAGACAAGCCCCATGCCAGCAGGCAGGCCTGACGGCAGCGCAGAACAAGAGTCAGGGTGATGCTTCCTGAAAGGAAGCCCTTTCTGCCCATTGACTGGAGAGGGAGAGAGTCAGACCACCACATACAACCCAGCTGGCATGCTGATCAACAACACAGTGGGCGCTGGCCATGGGAAGGAGATGTCTGGAAGAAGTTAGAGGGGTTTGAGGCTAGAAGAGTTTGGGAAGCCTGAATCCCCAGGCCTCTCTAAAGCAACCTCTTTCAAATGTCCACATCAAGGTCACCTGGGCTGCTAACCTGCAGCAGAGCCAACTTTGCAGCCTCATGGCTGGGCTCCTGTTTACTGTCCCAGCTTCAAGGCTAAAGGATTGGATGGAGACCCAAGAAGGTGGGTCAAAGGGTATGATCCTAAAGCTTTTGCTGTTGTTGATTAGCAAACATTGTTTTCCTGAGAATGAAATCGACATGCCATAAAATACGGTTTGGGGAGGAATATACCTGTGTGCCCAGCCCCTAAGGAAGGCCCATGTAACTATAGGGAGCGAACCCAGGGTGCTGGAGCTGCTGGCCAGGGGACTCATCTATTTCCTGCATCTGAGAATATGGATATGGACTGAATATTAGGTGATTTCAAGGAATTATGGTTAATTCTGTTATATGTATTGTTCATTTTTGTGATAATGACACTGTGGTTATTTTTCTTTAAAGCCTTGTCTGTTTGAGGTGCATACTGACATGATATAATGGCTGGATTTACTTTAAATATTCTAGAAACAAAAAGGTCAGGGGCAGGGGAAGTTATAAGACTGGGAATCAGTGGTACTTAAGGGTTCACTCTGTTCTCCAATCTGTGTGGATATTTGCAAGTGAAATAAATAAAAGGTTAAAAACCCCTTCCAGTTCTGCTGGTTGTATAATTTAATGTACTCCTGCTGACCACTAGAATAAGCATGGTGAATACTTCAGAGACGTACTACTCAGAGCACAGACCTCTGACAGAAGTGTCATGTGCACATGTTGGAAATATGGGCTCTCTCAGATCCCACCCCAGACCATGTGAAACAAACTCAGCATTTTAACAAGGTCTTCAGGTGACCCGTGCTCACAGTGAAGTTTGGGAAACGCAGACCTAGGCTAGTGAGAGCTGTGTGGTGCCTCCTTTTCTACTATAGATGAGAATTTCAATTGAGCTACGTTGTTCTCCTCCATCATTTGCATTCTAGGTATATTGAAAGTAGGTAGATTTATGATTTTGTCCAAAGTTAGCAAAAGTAGGGGAAGCCCCAACTAAACCTGATTCGGGCAAAACTGGGAATAAAGAATCAACAACACCCAAAGTCATGCTTCCTGACTTTTTCTCCTCCTAGAGCATGTACCAATAATATCTGGTTCAATTTATGAGAAATTGCAGGCAATTTGATCCTGGACAACACTCCTGTTGAAAACTACTAAAAATGTGGGGAAAGTGTAAAAAATTCCTTAAAGCCTCAGAAGGCTGACATGATGCTATGGAATCACCAAGTCAAAATCTGAAAAGCATTTCCTCTCGGCCAAATGTTGTCCACATGGTCACCACAAGGCTGAGGCGTCCTGGCCTGAAGGGGTGGAGATTGGTTACATTGAACAGGTTTGAACAGATAAGTAAACATACTGAAGATAATGGGAGTCAGCCTTCTCATGGTCAGAGAATCAATTTACAAAAGTGGAGACGGGGAAGACTAACATAAATCCTGTGGTGTTGGATTGGAATTGGAGGTGTCTGGAAGAACACCTGGCTCTGAATACATGTAGACAAATATCAAAATAGTTATAGCTGCGTGTGTATATACATACATGTGATATATATACATACACACATACATACATGTATCTATGAGCTCTATCCCCTAGGAAGGCCTAGAAGCAGTGACACCCCAGCAGCAAGCTCACATCTTGATTTCTGAATCTTATTCTCCACTAAAAGGTACCAGACCTCCATGGAATAATGGCTGATTTGAGGGCTGGAGTAAGGAAAGGACAAAATAAAACTTGGAGTGTCTTGATGTTCCAGAAAGTGAGAAAGTGCTCAAGGAACGATGAAGACCTGTTTAAAGGATAAAGATTAAAGGAGTTCTCACTGTCTTTATCTGGGACAATTTGAGCATCAAAATAATGATAGCAATGGATTTTAATCAGTGAATAAAACCAAGAATCCTGAATAAAAATAAACGTAAGTCCATACTGATATAAGGAAAAGAAGAAAAAGCTCTACAGTAAAATGCCAACTAACGTGAATAAATGATTCTAGTAAGTACAAAATATTTAACTTTACTGTGGTGAAACATAGCAGACATATCTTAATCGAGTGATAAAACACCATCAATAATGGGACAAAGTCATGTCCCTTGATGTAATGCACTGAGAACACAGCACTATTTCTGATATTCCTGCTAGAGGAACATAAACTGAATCTACTTATGACAAGTCAGAAAAGCCCAAATTGAAGTTATTCTATAAAATAACTGCCTGTACTTTTCAAAACTGTCAGAGTTATGAAAGACAAGGAAAGACTAAGGAGCTACTCCAGACTAAGGAGACTGAAGAGATATTACGACTCAATACCGTGAGTAATCCTGGATTGGACTTTGGACCTTTCAGGATAATCTTGGGACAACCAGTGAAAGTGAATGGTGTCTGTGGTTTAGATAGTAATGCTGTATCAGTTAATCTCCTGAGCTCGATGGTTTACTGTGGTTTTGTAGAACAGTGTCCTTATATTTTAGAAAATACACATGAAGTAGTAAGAGGATAATGAGGCATAAGAAGAAATATTCATAGATAAACATGAAGAAAGAGTTACAAGGCAAATATTTAGTGTAAAAAATGGGCAAGCTAAGTGAAAGGCATACGGAGTTTTTCAAACTATTGTAATTTTTCTCTCAAGTTTGAAATTATTTCAAGATAGAAAGTGAAACAAAAGTGTGAAAAACAAAGAGTCTAAGGGGAAGCTAGAACACTCTATTGGCTGCTATTTGCAGAGGGCACTTGAAAAGCCAGGCAAATACAGATGCCTCCCAAGATGGTGATGGAAAGGAAAGCTTTGGGTTCACCTATGGTGAAAATGACAACAACAAAATCTTTATTTCATGCTCATTTTTCTTTTTTTTAGCTGAGCCATCCTACCACCTGTTAGCAGCTCAGCTCGGGCCGGGCATCGAACTGCTGTTGCTCAGAGCTCGCACGCTCTTGAGCGAGCTCTTAACCCACTGAGCCACTCGGCCGGCCCCATGCTCGTTTTCAAAAGATGTTTTCGCTGGGTATAGAATTCTGGGTTGACCCTCCCCACCCCCCACCTTCAGTGCTTGCTGGGATGCAGCCACAGTGAATAAAATAGACAAAACCCTTAACCTTATGAAGCTTACCTTCTAGCAAAGACAGAGAATAAAGTAAATATACATTAGCAGGTGAGAATATGCATTATGGAAAAGACATGGAGCAGGGTGAGGTCAGGGGATCTGGGTGGGGGGAGGGGCTGCTACGTTAACAGAGGTCAGGGAAGGCCAGAGTAGTCAGAGACCTGAATGAACTAAGGGAGAAAGTCATTTCATTTTCTGGGCAAACAGTCTTCCTGTCAGAGGAAAAAGCCTTGAAGTGGGAGTGGGGTAAACCAGGGGGTGGGACAAGTGGGGGTACATTGTCAAAGGAGGAGTGGAAGCCTCTGGAGGGTTTTGAGCAGAGAAGCGACCCCGAAGTCTGACATGGTTTTTAAGATGCCCTGGCTGCTATGTTCAGAGCTGACAGTGGGAGAAGGGTGGGGGTGGAGAGGGAGGTACAGGGAGCTCACCTCTGAAGTCACAGTAATCCAAGCAAGAGGGTGGAAGCCTGGACCCATGTGGCTGGAAGCAGTCAGATTCCGGATGTTTCCAAGGCAGAATCAAATGTGGAGTGTGAGAAAAAGTGAGAAGTCAGGATTGACCCTGAGGGTTTGGGCTGGTGCCCATCAGGATAGACTGGCTGTCACCGAGACGAGGACGGCTGGGGGAGTAGCAGCCCTATTAGGCCATCTGGAGCCACATTTTCACAGGACTGCTCTCACCAGTAGTCTCCTTGTTGCTAAACTCATTGGACACTTTTCAGCCTCCACCTTCTTGGTCCTCTTGGCTTTGATGGCAACTGAACCATTTCTACTTTGTTCTCTAGGATTCTGATGCCCACCTTTCTGGATGTAACACATCTTTTTCTGGTCATCGCTTTATGTCCTTGGTCTACAAGTTTGGGCTTCTACCCACTGCGCTTCACAGATGCTCGAGTGATGTGACTTCATCTATGACCACAGCTTTCAGTAGCCTGATGAGTGTCATTCAGCTTCAACCTACATCTCACTCTACCTCCAAATCGGCTTCCCATAGGCAGCTCCGAGTCTAAGACTGAACAGGCCCCATGTCGTTTACATTCTCTTCCAGCAGATGGCAGCATCTGCATTAACATTCTGCAGTAATGCTGGTCTTACCTCCTCCTCATCCCTACATTCAGCTGTCAAGTCCATTTCTGGACTTTCTCCCTTAGTTCAAAATATCTCAAATTGGACCTCCTTTTCCTGCTGCTGTATCTATGGTCCAGGTCGCATCATTTACCTGGACTTCTGTAACAATGTCCAAATTGGTCATTTCTGGTCAAGCTTTTTTTTCCTTCTCTAATCTTTCTCAAGTGAAAATCATGTAAACATTCAGATTCCCTATCACCAGGCTCCTCAGCCCAGGAAGAATTAAAGTGCAGGAGGGCTGCACCAACTAGTTGCCCTGAGCCTGTAAAAGATGCTAAAACATCACTTGGGTAAGTGTAAATATGGTGCAAATTAACAGCCTATTAATTTCTCCTGTATCATTTATAGCTTTTATAAACAGGCGGCCAGGATGAAATAGCCCTTCCTTTACCTGGGGCACCATTCAGAGCAGCAGAGGTCCTAAGACTGCTCCATCCCCAGCCACAAGCCAGCCTCACCAGTGTCAGACCAACCCTTCCTCTAACAGGACCTCAAGGCTAAGCTTGTCACATGCTATACTTCCGTTTGCTGGTCTCTACCAGATGTCCAAGCTTCCCCCATTCAGCTGTCACTACTTCCATTCCCATTAGCCCTCCTACTAATCTGACCCAATATTTGCTCCCTTCCCAAACCTTCCAGGTACTCTAGAATTCAGTCACCAGCCTGTTTTTACTCACCAGTGTGCTCTACCTTTAACCAGACTCACCCGCGAGGACACTGCTTCCCTTGCAGCCCTTTCAGTGATGGCTTTTTCCCCTTCTAATCCTCCAGGTAGCATGGTGCCCGGTGGTGGGCTAGGTTTTGTCACACCATTGCCACTTCAAAACCATTTTCCTCCCTTCTAAGTCCTTCAAAAACCCACACCTTCAGACTAAATCGGTTATCCAGCAGCATTCCTTGAAGATTTTAATTCCAGGGTCACCATCGTCTTCTCCGCACACACCACTTCAACCATCACCTGCAGCAATTTCAACACCCATGGAGATCCTTTGAACACCATAGTCTATTTTTGACCTCTTCACTTGCAGTAGTTTCTCTTCCTCCAGTCTTCCACTCACATGACCATAAGCTCAACTGTCATTACCAGTAACTGCACAGCCCAAGGTTAAGCATGACAGTCTAGGCCCACCTCATATTCTTCCAGCTCTTTAATTAGTACTCCTCTTCTGGAGTCCATCTGGAATGCTTGCCAACTCCTGGATCAATTCCAGTTACCAGACAATGCCATGTTCTTACTGGCTTTGGCAGTCAGAACCCATCCCTGGATCTGGGGATGGGCAAAGTGGATGCTGGGAACATTACCGTCAACTATAACCCTATGTTCACGTTCAATACCTTGGCTCTTCTTTCTGTTGGGTTCAGTTGGCAAAGTCTTGGTTAAACCCAACCCCCACCTGCTGGCAATCTCTTTCCCTAGTATACTTGCTTTCCCATTCTTTAAGACAACTAGGTTACAGTCATGTGCTGCATAACAATGTTTTGATCAATGGCAGACCACATGTAAGACAGATGGTCCCATAAGATTGTAACAGCTTAATTTTCTGTAAGAAAGGGATAGGCTCGGCAATAGATCCCATCCTACAGCACCTCAATTTGGAGTGCCGATTACATTCCAATCACTGACCTGTTTCAGGTGTCTGTCCCCCTAGCACTACAGCCCTCCCAGATCTACCTCGATGGTCTTCAGAGTACATGCATTGCTGTCAATTCTCTGTGGACCTCAGATCCTGTACAAGGGTGTACAGCTCCACAGGAGCTACCTTAATGAGGTGGCACTCCCAGTTTAATAAAAGCTTTCTGTGGTACTGTGGAGTCAGCCATTGTACTTTGGGAATATTTTCAGGTTGCAATGATGTAAAGCATAGGTAAGTTTTATTTCTTCCACCATTTCAATGCTAGAGAGCCCTTTGTGCCAGATGGGATCAATGAAACAAATTTCCCAAGTCAAAATACTGAGTCCTCAAGTTCTATACACTCTCCATGTTAAACACCTTTTTTATACCGCAAAGTTCCTTAATCTGACCACCGCTCCAACATGCAATAGCCAAAACCACATTGCCATGACAGTTCCGTTCCTTTATTCTTCCCATCTTAATGATTCCTTCTGACCCCAGGGCCACCTTTCACTCCTGACAGTCACTGTTAAGGTGAGCAACGTCCTGCCCAGCCAGTTTCTCATTTCCAGCCAAACCAGCACACATCCCTGTTCATGGAGCAGCATTGACAGCTCTGATGTTGTATTCCTGACCCTCCAGGAAAAAGAGGGTGAGGCTTGTGGGACAGCTTATATATTATAAAGTCTATAGTCATGTGATATCCTAGGCCTTCATTCACCATTCTGACTCACCCAACTTCCAGTCCTACAGCTCCATTCACAGTAAATGCTCTATACATGTGTACCATTTATCTTTTATACTGTATTTTTATTGTAGCTTTTGTTTAGATACACAAATACTTACCATTGTGTTTACAGTTGCCTGCAGTCTTCTATACAGGTTGTAACTTGGGAGCAGTAGGCTATACAATCTAGGCTGCTGTCAGTGAACTCAGACGTTTGTACAATGAAACCACTTTTCAGAACGTATCCCCATTAGCATCGTATTACTGTACATCTTTTTCTCTCTTCAAACCTCAACCTTTTCTAAGATCTACCAGTCTTTTGAATTTACTTGAATTGACATTGCCTCAATATCCATGAACATGAAAACCTCAATTTTTAATGTCAATATTTTTGCTTCCTCCGATTTTGAAAACGTTAGTCCTAAATGCATTTCCTTGATATTATCAGGATATACTTTTTACTACCTAGTATTATATATAGGTTTTAGCCATTTACTAGTAAGTTACCCATTAATTTGGCTGTATTCTTGGTTTTTGTTACCAGTATCATTGATACATGTTTTCTTTCTTTTTCTCGCTGTATTGCCTGGACTCACCAGTGCAATTATCAACAGAAACAACAAATGTCCTCACCTTCTTCCTCATGTGCCTGTGATAGGGCGACTAATTCCTTACCACTCTCCCAGGCTAACCCTGTCCAGCCACATAGGTCTTCTTATATAGGAACAGGAGGTATTCATGATTGTTAAGGCCGGAGAACCAGGCTAAAGGCCTGTCAAAACCGACGAGGCAGGGTTTGCCCGATGAGGAAACGGCCGCTGCTGCTTCCAAGCAGCTTCCACCCTAACAGTGTTGGCTCCTCCAGAGTCTCATGCTGGTGCACCTGGACAGGTGGACCATGTTCTAAACCCGCATCGTGCCTTCAAAAGATGAACGCCTTCTCTGGGTTCTTAGTCATAGGCTATCTAATCCTTACACAACATGAAGAGCTGGGCAATAGACAAAATACATAGGTAAATTGTGTAACACTGACAGAAAGACGATCACAAAAAGTGTCCACCGTACTCTCGCCAACACAAAATATTTCCCTAAAAGGCAGTTGCTCCCACATTTGGAAGAGGAGTTTCAGAGTGTTGACTGACAGTAGCCTAGCCTACTTTAATATTATTTTCCCACTTATTCACCAGTCCCCTAGAACCAAAGTACCAGTGCATTGCTATCTCAGTTCTGCAAATCCTGAGTACATTCTGGAGAGGGGACCCACTACTTGGGACTTACACAGCAACGCAGGACCTCTTGGACATGCCACACTAGCCTATTCTATATCCCCCCCATCTTTCCCTCTGACCCCCCAAAGCTGGTCAGGATGATTCAGAATGAGTCTCTTAATAGCAGAGATTATTCCCAAGCATTCCATAAAGTATGTCAGAGCATCTAACAAAGACATTATAAAAATATATCCAGAACAGGCAGGCTTAGATTACAAGGGAATTGAGACCACAAAAGACCTGCTACAGCATGCCCTCACCACATTACCACTGCCTCCCAGCAAAAGGAACTTACAAAAAAGGAAAATGGCCAGATTATCCTGGTAAATACTTTCTAATTTTTAGTATGAACCCACAGGTATGTCACTCAATGATAGATTACACATTTAAGAAAATTTCCTGGAGTAATTACCAGTGAGCACCATCTATTTTCAGATAAGTTTAAGCTAAGAGTCCTGTAACAAGCTAAGGACTTATAAACTAAAATAGAACAAGGCATAAATTTACACAAAGACAATTATTTAAGACCTTTATTAACAGGTGCTTGCAGTTTGTTGACTTTTTTGAAAAAATCAAGTTGTAAACTTTTATTACAAATTAAAAATGAAGTTCTTAAAAATCTCAGCTTGACCAAATATGAAACAATTTAAAAACCTTTAAAGGTGTATTGAGAAAAAACAGGCTTTTTAAAATTTTTTTTATTAAAAAACACGTTTGTCATTACCAAAAAGAGACATCTTTAGGTAAAAATAATAAAAACCCCATGCTGCATAGATAATGCAGATAGTTCTAGTTATCTGGTCAATGGGCAAAAAGCAAGCACTTAAGGTCTTTAGCTCCAATCTTTTGTTCATTTCTTATTGCTGGAATTTCGTATTCATTTCTTCTTGCTGGATGACTAAACTGCAAAAGAAAAAAAAAAAGATTATCTTGTACAATTCACCGCAGTGTTCTTTTAGTACACACCAAACGGTTCTAGATCACATTAGTTAGGTAGGGAAGGCATTAACAAATATATTGGTTTATCCTAAGAGTGATCTACAACAGGGGTGGACATTGCTGTGATAAGAATCGTTAACTTGTGGTTTAGATGACCTTTTGCCACCCAGAAAATAGTAGAGGAAAAAAAACCAAAACATCACTGGCTAAAAATGCTAATTCCAACAACAGAGACAATTACATGCCTCTCAGTATCAACTATAAAAGGAATTCCTTCATTTTGAAATTGATAATAAGATGTCAAAATCACCACTTTCCCTAAACAGGCTATATTGGTCGTCACCATCTACATTTATCAATTCTATTAGCTCTCCCACCTCTTTTTGAAAATGCAGAATAACACAATGTAATTAACATAGTTCTTAGAACAAGGTTATCAAGACTTTCCTCAGCTTACTGGTGAAATCACAGAACATTCAGAAAGTTCATAAAAAGCTCTAATATTTAAGACACAATGTGAAGACAGGCTTCCAGGTGTCAGAAATGAGGTGGTTCACAGGCCAAATATGGCTCTGATACATGCCATTACCAAAATGGGACATTCAGGTAATTTTAAGGTTAATTTGGGAGGAAGACATTGTAAGTAAAAATGGCTTTCCTTACCCCATGAACTGTTTTTTTCTTTCTCTTGCATTAATGAACACTACTCATGACTGTTCAAAGGCCAGAAGGCCATCTAGGCTTACTTACCCGGATGATGGTAGAGATGGTAAGCCGGCATTTACTCAGCCCCGCCCTGCTCAGCCTCGGGAGCGGACGAATTCTCAGCTGGTGGATCGGCTGCTTTTGTCTCTTTGCCATCTTGTGGTTTAGGGTTCTCTGGGCGTCTGCGTCGGTAATTGAAGTTACGGCGGTACCGACGTTGAGGTGGCTGCTGACCTTGGGTCTCATCTCCTTGATTTTCCTTATCTTCTTCATTGCCGTCCTCTCTAGGCTGTCTTTGGCGAGGAGGGCCCCTGGAATGAACATTGTGCAAACCTTAATGATGAAACCTTCTTTCTTTAACCCGCCCACCAATGTTAACACCATATCTGGTTTTTCTGTTTATCAAGTGGTCTGCAGGTAAATTTAGCCAAAACAAAAGAGCAAGCTTGACTTATATTTCATAAACTTGAGTGTGATGATTCTGTATAATACAACGACTTGGAAGTATAAAATGAAAGATGAGCATTTAAAACTGGTTTTTGGACTAGCAAACTTTTACCAATAGCATAATCTATTAGAAAATTTACCATGAAATGACTTTAAAAGTGGCACAATACCAACACTTGTGTCATTTTATAACATTTTTAAATGGCTAACCAGGTTTGGGAACAATTGCTATTAACTTTTATAGATGAACACTTGCTAAACAAGCAGGAAATCAAAACCAAGATGCCCTCTTCATATAAATCAAAGTACACAGTCACTAGGGAAACGCATGAAATACCATTTCATATCCACTAGGATGGCCATAATCCAAAGGTCAAAAAATAACCAGGGTTGGTGAGGATGTGGAGAAATTAGAATCCTTCTACACTGCTGATGGAAATATACAATGGCATAGCAGCTTTGGAAAACAGCTTGGCAACTCCTCAAAATGCTAGTTACTATGTGACCCAGCAATTCCATTCCTAGGTCTATATCCCAGAGAATATTCACAAAAAAGTTTTTTTAAAAAGATTTTATTGGGGAATCGGGGGGATGGGAACAGCGCTGGGGAATCGGGGGATGGGAACAGACAAATTGCTGTCCTTTTGTTATTCAGTCTAGTTGTGGAGGATGTCGCTTCACTGGCCCATGTTGGTGTCATCATTGTGCTCTTCCCGGGTGAGGCAGATTGGTTGCCGGCCTCTGGACGGCCGCTCACGGTGGTTCTTGGCAGCTCACATGGGCTGCTGGCCGCTCATGCTGGCTGCCGGCCACACACGGTAGCTTATGGCAGCCCAGCTCCAGGTCGAGCTGTTGTTCACCATCTTAGCTGTAGAGGGCAGTGTCACTGGCCCTCATGTGGGATCTGAACC